AGATGTTCCAAAAACTGCTTTTAGGACTCGGTATGGCCATTATGAATTCGCAATAATGCCGTTCGGGTTAACAAATACACCTGCAGCTTTTATAGACCTCATGAATATAGTATTTCAATCGTACCTCGATCAATTTATGGTCGGCTTAATTGACGATATCTTAGTGTATTCAAAGACAAATGAAGATCATGATGCACACCATAGAGTGGTTCTTCAAACACTTCGAGACAAGAATCTTTACACTAAGTGTGAATTTTGGTTATCCGAAGTTGCCTTTCTGGGACATGTGGTTTTCGCAGAGGGGATTCGAGTGGATCCTCGAAAGATTAAAGCTATACTAGATTGGGAAGTCCCAAGAAATATTTCTGAAGTGCGATGTTTTTTGGGTCTGGCTAGATATTATCGAAGGTTCGTAAAGGACTTTTCGATGATTTTCTCTCCTTTGACCAAGTTGTTGAAGAAAGATGTGCCCTTCATTTGGATGGACAAATGTCAAGAAAGTTTTGAATTGTTAAATAAGGTACTAAAGGAAGCTCCAGTGTTAGTACAACTAGAATCGGGCAAGGACTACACGGTTTTTAGTGACGCTTCCCATAATGGGTTGGGATGTGTATTAATGCAAGATGGAAAAGTAGTAGCCTATGCTTCGAGACAACTTAAGTCCCATGAGAAGAATTATCCAACGCATGATCTTGAGTTAGCAGGGGTAGTGTTTACACTGAAAATTTGACGCCACTATTTATATGGTGAACGTTGTTACATTTACACAAATCACAAAAGTTTAAAGTATTTGCAAACTCAAAAAGAGCTAAACCTGAGACAAAGGAGATGGATCGAGCTACTTAAAGACTACGATGCAATCATAGATTATTATCTAAGGAAGGCTAACATGGTGGTTAATGCTCTTAGCTGAAAGACTTTTGCAGCTCTATGTATGTTAAATGCTCGACTGGCGTTTAAAGAAAATGGTGCTTTGATGGCCGAATTGAAGCTAAGACCGTTATTATTGGAGCGGATAAAGCAATCACAAATAAGGGATGATAAGTGTTTATCAAGGATAGAGCAAGTAGAAAAATGTGAAATTAAGGACTTTGAAGTAAAGTCAAATGGATGCTTATACTACAGAGATCGAGTTTGTGTTCCAAATGATGAAGATTTGAAAAGAGATATACTTTTAAAGCACATTGTAGTCCATTAACTATGCATCCAGGAGGAAACAAGATGTACCAAGATTTAAAAGGGAGATATTAGTGGTCAGGCATGAAAATAGCTATTACAAAGTTTGTTTCAAAATGCCTAACTTGTCAACAAGTGAAAGCTAAACATCAGGTGCTTTCAGGACTTTTACAACCGATCTACATTCCTCGGTGGAAGTGGGAAAGAAATACAATACATTTCGAAACGGGATTACCTTTGACATCGAACAAAAAAGATTCAATTTGGGTTATTGTGAACCGATTGACTGAGACAACACACTTCATTCCTATTCGAACATATTACTCAATGGATAAGTATGTGGATCTATACATCAAGGAAATAGTTTGATTGCATGGATTACCAGTTTCAATAGTATTTGATAAAGATCCAAGGTTCACTTCGAGGTTTTGGAAGTCTTTACATGGAGCTTTGGGTACTCGGTTGAATTTTAGCACAGTTTCTTATCCACAGTCTGATGGTCAATCGGAGCAGACAATTCAGGCTTTGGAAGATATGTTAAGAGCATGTATGATCAAGTTTCATGGTAAGTGGGAGAAATATCTTCCCCTTGCAGAATTTGCGTATAATGACAACTATCAATCAAGCATTAAAATGGCCACGTAGAAGCGTTATATGGAAGTACAGAACGCCACTTAATTGGTATGAATTAAAAGATCGAGATATTCATGGTCCTGATCTAATTAAAGAAGTAGAAAAAGTTCAGGTGATTCAGCATAACCTTAAAGTGGTATCAGATATTAAAAAGTCCTACGCGGATCTCAAAAGAAAGGAAATTGAGTTCCAAGTAGGTGACAAAGTGTTTCTCAAAGTATCACCTTGGAAGAAGATTCTTCGATTTGTACGTAAAGGAAAGCTCAGTCCTAGGTTCATTAGACCTTATGAAATCTTAAAAAGAGTTGGACCAGTGGCATATCAGTTAGCATTTCCATCGGAAATGGAAAAGATCCATAATATTTTTCATGTGTCTATGCTCAGGATATATCGATTAGATCCTTCGCACATTATAGCACCTGAAGAAATAGAAATTCAACCTGACCTGACTTACGAGGAAGAACCAGTGCAAATTTTAGCATTTGAAGCCAAACAACTAAGAAACAAGATGATTCCATTAGTTAAGGTTCTCTGGAGAAATCACAAGGTAGAAGAGACAACATGGGGAACGTGAAGAAGATATGAGACAGACAGCTTTCTCATCTCTTTGTACAATGAAAATTCAAGGACGAATTTTCTTGAGGGGGAGAATTGTAATACCCTAAACATCGGGTCAGTGACAAAAAAATGTAAGAATTTAAAATTTAGTAGTTTAATTGGAATAAGTTGAAAAATTCAAGGACTAATTTTGGAAATTTTGTTTAGGACTTGATTTCAAATATGGAAGAGTGGAAGGGCAAAGAGGTCTTTTTATAGGAAATTAAATTAAATTTCAATTTATAGGATTTAAGACGTGGGGAATAGAGATAAGAAAGAAATATTTGGAAGCTTGGTTTCTTCTCCATTTAATCTCGTGACTCCATTGTTAAGGTAAGTTGAATTCAAGCTGGTTGTTCTTCAAATTTTTGGTTTGGTTTTGAAGACTTAAGTGATATGGAAGCTTAAGGTTTAATAAAAATAAGAGATTAGTGAAATATTAATGGATTAGTAAAATGGGTTTTTAAGGGATTTGATGATATGGTTTAGTATTTGAATTTCTAAGGATAAATTTGACTTGCAAAGGTCTAATTAAGAAGTTAGAAGTATTAGAAATGATTAAAAACATGATTGAATAATTAGTGTGATTTTTAGTTCAAAGTGTTATAAGGAGAAATTTAGATGTTATAAGAGGATAAATGGACATAAGTTGTGTGGGATAAGTGTTATGGAGCTTAAGGACTTGAATAGAGCTAACGGTAAAAGATTTAGGTGAGTTTTGAGTAAAATTCGAAATGGAATCTATGAAATCTAGGTAAGAGTATCGGTACTAGAAGAACAATACCAATACTATAAGAGTAAATTGGTGGAAAATGGATGGATCGGGTAATCAGTATCGATACTGATTTAAAGAGTATCGATACTTATGTGGAGGTATCGATACCAAAAGTAAAGTACTGATATCGTAATCGAAAATGGAATTCTAGAATACTGAAATGGTATCGATACTGAAGTGGGTATTGGTACCCTAGAAGAGAAGTATCGGTACTGTAGGAGAGTATCGATACTATTCAGTATGAAATATTGAATTAAGTGTTTCTTTTCGTTGATGTAAATACCAAGTAATTATTCGTTAATCGAAAGCTTGTATTGATTTTTGGACATATTGTTGTGTAGATTTGAATCAAAAGCGTACTGATCGAAGTGATATAGCAAAGAGACTAACGAAAGTTAAAAGGATTGGTTTAGGACTTAGGCAAAGGTGAGTGCAACTCAATTGTTTAACATTAAATATGAGGACAGCTTGCGATAAGCCAACCTCGAAGTTTTCGATCGAAAAAAGGTTTATTTATTTTATGCAATTATTTTTATTATGCTTTAGATAAAGTGTATTTTAAAAATATTGTTTTGATTCTATATGTATATGATTGTGCTATAAGTGAAACGATCTATGTGCTCTGCGAATGCGATCTATGTGAAAGTACTTGATGAGAATGTACTCTATGAGAATAAGACGTACTTTAAATAATGAAATAAGACATAATTATATGGTTAAAGCCCAAGGTACATGTATGAAAATTAGAGGTATAGTTAGCATGCCAAGAGTCGAGGGTTTTATGCGATCCTTCGGGACAAATCTATGTGGTCCTTCGGGACATTTCTACGTAATCCTACGCGGTCCTTCGGGACAAATTTTACGTGACTTCGGTGCAAATTATATAAGCAGTGGTGGCTGCATTATTGTACAACCTCAGTGTATTTAGATACTTTTAGTTCTCAATATTATGCATTGGGCTAAAATAATAAAATAATATAAATTGAATAAAGAGTAACCTTGGATGTTATTTCATAAAATGAATCTCGACTTTAGTATGAAATGTTTATTACGAAATGAATGAGAAATTGTTTTTAAATGTTCATTTATACTTATTATTGCCTTACTAAGTCAACGACTTAACATGTGAATGTTTCACACGTAGGTTCAAAGAAAGACAAGGATTAAAGCTAGGAGATGACAACATACTCATGTAGAAGATCAGATCATAACAATTTGAAATGTAGGTTCTTGTTTTTATTTTGGTGATTTTGTTGGCATGTATTACAAATTTTTAAATTGTAATGCTCTGATCCGTTTTGTAAACATACAGTATTGCAATTATGTAAATTATTAAGTATTTATTTCCAATATGAGTTTGCAATTTCAATATTAACTTTGATATAAGGATTTCAATACTTAATATAAAGAAAAGTTTTAAATTTCAACAAGTTTTCAATGAGTCAAAGTTTTAAAAAGTCAATGTGACACCTTAGATTCGTATCCGGGTCGGATACGGGTTGGGGTGTTACAATGCATGATGGCCTCAACCAACATTAATACTACACACCGAAATACATACACAACAAAGCTAGATGCCTCAGATATTTGACATTTTACAGCAACTATGCTGACAAGTGATACATCAAGAACTGAGACCACGAATTTTGCAAGGCACAATAACCATCCATCCTAGACATGTTTCACAAAATAAATTAGTTAAAAACTTGAAAAAGATGCCCAATCAAATTACATGTAATATTTCTAGCATAAATCGTGCACATACGCAAAAAAACAAAGCCAAGAAATTGCTAGCATTTTATAAAACTATATAACTCACAGGGCACCGTAGGTTGACTCCAAAAAACTCTGCAACAACTTCTAGGTCACTGTCGCTATCACCATTGTCTGTTGCATTTCCACCACCAACACAACGACGAACACGAGAGAGAGCATCTTCCAAACATTCACCATCATTCTCCTTGGGAATCATGTTGAGTATCTAGGCCATCAATATAATAAGAGCAAATTTCAGTTGCATACCCATGTAGGGGTTCGTAGTTTAAATTATAGTACTAACTACTAACATAATTAATACTATGCAACTGAAAAAAAAGGAGCTTAATATTGCTGTTAGTAGGTCAAAATCAATAATCCCAAGCTAAAATTTAATGTTATCATAAAAGCATCCAAACCTCATTCCCAGCTCAGTTCAGGTAGGAATTTCATTACTTCTTTCATTCTCAGCTATTCGATAGAAATGGGTCCATATTAAGTAAACCAACAGGCATAACAAACAAGCTGACGAAACAAAGTTGGCCCTGTTGAAAATGTGAAGAGAACCCTTCGCATGGCCAAGTTTAAAAACAAGCCCCAACTTTGATCTAATTTATTTCCCTCTGATCTCTTCTTTATTTCTAGATCAATCCTCCATTGTAATCTCTCAAATTTTGCCAGCTCCACCCTCTTTCTTAGTCTTTAAGACTACAGCCATGATAAAGTGTTGTTGTTTGTTCTTCATTCTTTTTCTCAGTTTCCTCCATTGATAATAAAGTGTTGTTCGTTATATAGTATCAAGATTTTTAAAATAATTGAAGAAGGCAAAGGGAGGAACAAGAACAAAAAGGCTTTCTAGTTTCACTTGGATCCCATATCCATTTCGATGTAATGTTGGCATAGGCACCTCACCCAACATGCAAGAAAATAACTATTAGGTGGTCAAATGTATAATTTGTAGTGATTTGGGTGAGAAACATGAAATATATATTGAATTCAGTAGTATGAAAATAACATGGTCAATTATGACAGCACTAAATATATTTGAATTCCATTTTGCGTTGTTAATAAACTGATCAGCATTGCCAAAATCAATCAAAGAACTAGCAAGCATTGGATAAAAACGTTGTATGCAGCGCTCTTTGTTTTGCAAAAAGAAGCATACATAATTTATTACAACAAATATCTATCAGAAATCAATCCTATAATTTCAGTGAATGAACAATCCAGATTTGAATTTTTTGAATACCTGTTGAAGAGATCGCCTTTTCACGAGCCTAACTCCAAAACAGAACACACGAGCATCACACCCAGTCAAAGTTATCTTATTAGTTCCATCTTTAGTACAAGGAGTTATCTGATCATAAAATACACAACATACAAGCAATCAGAATTCAACCCATGGATGTTTCTTGCATAGCTAACTAGAATTAACAAGTTTTATAAAGCACATGCAATAACCTGCATGCCGGCTTCCCCATCCATTCCAATCACATGCACAAAAATGTAAAGGTAAATTCTAATGAGCATATGGTTATGTATACATTATGGAGAAGGGCGGCAGAGTAAAAAAGAAACACTCTTTCAGAGAAGAACAAAACTCACAATTGGACCATCATCACGGCCATTAGCCCCCAGCAATTGGGAGCCAGGTCTGTTAATAGCACGAACAGGAACACCTGTTTTAAAACATACAGTTACTGATAAATATTGAAATAGAAAAATGCATAAAAAATATTTTGATGCCAGAAAGGAGAACAAGGTTGCAATCATACCATTGACTTGCAAATCTGCATATTGAGGCCACTGCATCCTGAAAGAGACTTTGTCATTCAGAAGCAAGCACCCTACCTATTTGACAAGACGAAAAACAAAAATATCAGTATAAATAACAAAAAAGAAAATCCCAAACAGTACACTTTTTTTACACTATCCAACCTGGACATCATACTCTTGTTTTGTCAGCTTGTCTGCTCTGGTGATTTGAAATGTTTTCTCCACACTTTGCATTGGATTTGTACTGCAAAATATAGAATATTAATCACTAAACAAACAAAGTGATATGAGCAAGGTCACAAAGCATTACAAAGAAAGAATAAATATAATGACACTCATACCTAAACAACCTGAAAGTTCACTTTGTTTGTGTATGTGTTCAGGGGGTGGGTGCATTAACATTTCTCATATAGTGCACTCACCCATCAGTAGGGACATTCGTAACAGCCAACTTCACTGGATACAAAGGATGTGCAATAGTAAGCCAAAAACTGCATATTCAGAATCACATCATGAGTTAAAAGAGTGTAACATAAAATTAAGGTTAAACAAATTGAACAATATTTCATAACTCACTAATGGTATGCCTAGGAAAAAGGATAATCTTGATGCATCCTCGATAGATACAAGCATATACGATTCAAATGCTAGAAGCAATGTTTACAGCAGAAAAACAAAGGATTAATGAAAAAATAAGTGCCCAACTATACCCAAAATTCACTTTTGGTGCCTAAAGAATTTTTCGTTGAAGTTAGGTGCCTAACATTTGCTCCGTTACGCTTTTAGGTGGCTACCGTTAAGAAAACCTGTTAAGTGACACGTCATGTTTATTTATTTATTTTTAAATCTAAACGTGACATGTGTCACACTTTTTTAATGGTAGGCACCTATTTTTAATGAAAAATTCTTTAGGCACCAAAAGTTAAATTTGAGTATAGTTTAGGCACTTAATTTTACATTAAGCCAAAAACAAATATATAGTGCAGCAAGCACCAAGTTCTTGAGAAATAGCATGTTTCTTCGGTATCAAAGATAATTCGGTATTAACCTTTTGAACATCAATGCCGCATCACAGCTACAAATAACAGTATTTTGCAAGTTGTCTAAGGTTCTTTTGTTGTCCAACACTAAGACGAAATGTGCAGGCACAACTAGGTGCACGCCTATGCATCACTGATTTTACATGCACTATGAAAAAGTTCACAAGTTTTCTCATACTTCCCTTTTTTTTCCCTTTCCTCTGCATAGATTGTGGAAGACACAAAAGTTTGTGTTTACAATGCAAATGCTCACTATCAAAGAGGTACACCAAGTAATTATCCTTCACCCAACCGAACTAAAGTGAACACATTTTGCATGTGAAATATAAGAAATAATTAGCATATTTCAATACCATGACATTGAACTTCAGGCAATAACCAAACTGCAATCAGTAAAAATTTGACCATCAATTTTGAAGAAATCATACATTTTGGATGTGCACACATGCAAACATACACACATACAAACAGAGGAGAGACATACGGATCAGCTCGGCTCAGTCGACAAATCTCACAATAAAAGAAATCAGGAACTGCCGGATTTCCTTCCATAAGCTTCTCTGGAATTATAACACAACCAAAATGTTGTCATACATGACATCTTGGATCCTCGCACTGTCAATATGGCAATAACAGAAAGCAAAAAATAAGTAATTATTTTGAATCAAGTAAAGTGAATCCCAATTTGATAAGGCAGAGAATTGATGTTAGATAATTGGTCACCCAACATTTCAAACACATAGTTGTCATATCCATATCATTTACAACAATACGCTCATTATGAAAAGAACATTAATAAGCTCATCATCATTACCCTGATAATGTTGTCAGTCTCCAATGAGCTTCCACAAGGACAACGAACTTTAATATCAGTTTGGAAGGAATCATTTGCTTCTCCTTTAATTTTAACATTACTGCTGTCTGACACACCCTGTCCCTTTGAAGCCAATTCAGTGGCCCCAGAAACCTGCATCTTCCCGAGGACAATAAATAAACTTTAGTGAGAGAATATAAAGAAAATCAAAGCATAGAATGATCAGACATACTGGATCCAATTAGCCAGAATCATCTAAATAGTAGGTCAATCCTTTTTCACAAAAGGAAAGGAAGAGAAAACAACTAATCCTGTTATAAATGTTTTCATCCAGATCTTCAATATGAATGAATCATAAATGTAAACACAGAACTGTATAATTAAAAAAAAAATCCTGAACTAATCCCATTATAAATGTTTCCATCTAAATCTTCAGTAAAAAAATATCATAAATTTGAACACAGACCTATGTTTATCATCTACAAGTTTTGCGACATCCTCCTTCCCCACAGGAGTCCTCTTTGCCCACATCTTTGCAACTGGAAAGTAGAAAGTATACCCAACATTATTACAAATGCTAAAATTAGTGGTTTCAGGAAAAGGAAAATTCAACTGAACAGCATACTCATCTGTAACCCTTCCCCAAAAGGCTGCATTCATGAGAATACAAAATTTACAGAGAACCACTGGAAAGTAAACAGATTATAATGAAATGAGCAGATCAAAAGGTAAAATGTTGCAATCTCATTGATCTTGAGAAACTAGAGCACTAGGCAGAATAACAGTTCCATAATTACTTTCCTTGATCACATCCCACGGACCAGCACCAACACCACTACCACACCAAGAAAAGAAAAAGAAAAGAAAAACCGAGTTATACAAGGTCCTACCAAGAACTAAAGCCGAAAAGAATACATTATTTCACATCCAAAAATATGACTGCGACAGAGTTCAAGACACAAGCATATCAACAGCTAAATACCAGCACTCTGACAACATATGTCACATGCAAGCAATAATAATACCAGAAAGAAACATTTAGAAGAGAATATAACCCATAAATGACTGTGGATGCTACAAGTTTCCCATTCAGACAAAATGACGGGCTTTGAAAAGAATATTTTACCTTGATCATCAGAGAGAGCACCTAATATCCTCTCAACAAGGTCCTACAAGTGAGATTTATAGAGAGGTCAAACATAATTCTACACCAGGAAGGTGCAAATTGTAATAAAAATGCAGATAACTGACATAAAAACAAAAATCAAAGCCCCCAAAATTTTTAAGGCTCTTAATTTGCTAAATCTGCCAGTAAATGGTTTAATAAATTCAGGAACAACACACTGCAACTCCAATGACCTAGCAAACAAACGGGGTGAAATTCACGATTCACCTCTGCACACTCAAAAGTACATGTATTATGCATAAACACAAAATGAGGAGAAATAATAAAAATAAATAAAAAGACTACCCTTTTTTGGTAAAAATTAATGTGATCTCATCAAACAAAGTTAAAATTTATAATAATTATTAGCCATATACAGAGAAATTAAAAGAAAAAGAGAGGGAAAACAGCACGAAGAAAAGACTCCACAGAGACATTTCGAACAAGAGAATTAAAATACAGTGCATAATCTAAACATTCCATTAACCTGCTTCTTCCCCTGCTTCGAAAGACCCAATTGAGTGAGAAAATCCTTAAGTTCTTTTATTCGAAAATATGCCAATTTATCCTACAATAGGAATATTAAATAGAAATTAGCTCTTCAAGAACAATTTCTTTTCAGGAAAAACAAAAATGTGTTAACATATTAGCATAAAGCATAACAAGTAACTGAAAACCATATACTATATCTACTAACTTTCGGCTTTTGGGTTTGGTATTATACATTGACTAACAGAATAATATAATGATAAGTATAAAAATGGAAATATTTAAGTGGTGCTATAAAACAAAGTTATAGAAGCCATTGTCCTCAGCTAGTACTAATTACAAACGTCCAGAATGTGTTCACTCACAAACTTAAAACTACTTGATTCACAAAGCCACTTAAGCTATAGGTGAGATGTAGGAGTCAAGGGGAAATCTCCACTGTCAAACCAAATTCAGTAGTAGATACCTCTTCCATCATAGACTAACAGATATCCAACAATTACATTGCACACACACCCACACGGGAAAAAAAACAGTTAGATAGCATTTGATAAAGAACTAAAAATATAAAGCGTTCGGTTCTAGAACAATATTCATTAGTTAACTCTGATACGATTACACTCGAAAATCTAAAAATAAAATATACATCTAAATTATTTTATGAAAAAAAAAGAGGAAAATACCTTGCAACTAGCCACCAAATCCATATTCAGTTTACAATCTGAAGCCAAGCAAAAATCAGTAATCAAAAACTTAAAACTCTAAAAATATAATTACCAATCGATCCAATCAACATTAACCAGGAGAAAACCGCTAAAATTTAAATTAAATCAAATTAAATTTATCTTCGAAGAAAGGGATATAATCAAATTAAAGGACCTTATGAGATTTCCGAATATGAATAAAAGGGGGAAATTGTGATGAAACGAAGATGAGTTGGGGAAATAGGGTTCGAACTTCGAAGAGTGGAGGTCGCCTAGCCTTATCCCCCCCCCCCTTCCCTCCCTTTGACCAAGGAGACCCAACCAGAAGGAACCAATTCGTTTCGGAAAATTTACAAAATCGACCGGAATTGTCGCTAATTATCAAATTCGGTTTTTTGAACGGGGAACGCGTCCCGGTTTAGTTTCGGTGGTGTTGCGTGTTCGTTTTGTAAGATACGAACTCCTTTTTTTTATTTTTATTTCAGATTTCTTATTAGCTGGGCAACTTTGATTTGAGGTACTTAAGTACGTACGTTGACTCTAGCTAACTCTGGGATGTGATTATGCCACGTCATCACTTTCCTATAGTGTGATGAAGTTTTATAGGCGGACCTGATGTGCGTTCTTAGCCGTTAATATTGCCGTCAATTTTTAGGTTTATTTTTTATCTAAATTCTAAAGTTAACTCCCAATATTGATTTTTGCCGTCATTTTTTAGGGTGTTTTTTACGGACAGAAGGCAATATTTAGGACTTGGGTATTTACCTTAAAGTTAACTTTTGACTTTTTTTATTAAAGTTATTTGTTAATAAATTCTTGCAAGTTCTAAAGTACAATCTAAATTTAAAAATATTACATTAAATTTAATTAAACTAAAATATAAACACAAATCAAATAATTTTAATGACAAAAAAATTATTTTTTTTAAATTCTCGAATTTTAGTATCGTGTATACCAATAATACGAGTATTGTGCTCTCAAATTCTGACTCTTAGTCTTTCAAAATTTATCAATTTCATAATTCAATTTCGGTCATCATCAAATTTTTTAATCTGATAATTTTATCACATCTTGAAGTTCAAAAAAATATATAACGAAAAGTACTCTATACCCTTAAACGATTATTGGATGTAAGAGTAAATTGCATATGCTATCAAATTTTGGGTTATTACCTAGCTTGGTCCTCATAATTTGAAATACCACATTTTTATTCTCGACAAGGCCTGCTGTATTTGACTATTTCAATGGTAACCGTCAAGGCTTTTTTACAGAAATAACACCATAAAAGATAATTATCGAAATGATTCTAAAACCCATTTGTTGATCAGTTGTTTCACATGGATCAAAGACAATGCTATGGGATACAATAGAATTAACATAATTCATTAAAAAATTTAAATTTGAAACAATTAATTAAATATTGGGTACGAGGCTTATTCTCATATTCGGCTTAAAAAATGGGCGGTATCGTCAGGGTTACAATATGGCCTGGACGGCTGGACTTTGTTGCCGACCATTACCGCCAGGCTCTCATCCATTCCGAGTACCAGTGTTGGCACTGCCGATTGTCATTTGAGAGAGTGACCCAATATTCATTCTACTGTTTGTCCCTGTGGAAGTGTTGCGAAAACGTTATTGGTTGTTATCATGGATGCTAATAGCCACTATGCGACCTCTCCTTCAAGTTTGGAACACTATATCATCGAAGATCAGACAATCAAGAGATGGAACCAGAAACAGAACCGTAAAGATCAGACCGGTCTTCGAACTGAACACAGTAAAATATAAGATATGATATTCCAAATGTTTACGTTTAATATATATATTTCATTATGGATATAAGAATATCTCTGTTAGTGATTGAAGTGTTGATAATTAACATGTTTGCTAACTAGAGAAAGAAAAACAGTAATCATGAAGGAAATACCCTTCAAAGGCAAGGCAACAAATACTGAAACTTTCAACAATCATCATCTTACAACATCTGTTATGATGGCTGAAAACAGAGGGAACCCGACAACCATAAAAAGGAAACAGTTCCTACAAAGGTACGAGTCTTATTTCAGACCTTTGGATTCAACAGCAGCAATTTGTTTAGGCCTTGGTGGATGTCCCTGCTTTGGCAAGGTCTTCTAGTGCCTTCAAAATCTGTGGCTCGCTCAAACCTTCCGAGCGAATGCCCCTCTCGACACCCATATCTACATTGGAATCAAATAAGACCAGTGAAATCAGATGTCACAAAGAGCACAGAAATTGAGCAAAAAACTGGCAAGCACAATGAAAGCACCTCATGTTGATTCTGTGAAAATTGTCATTCACACACCAAGAGGCGAAAGGTTAACCAGTAAGACTAATGTTGCAAAGGCAGGTCCATTTTCATACGGTGATGAAACTGACATAAATTTAAATTCCCAATATCACTGGCGTTACTATTACCGAGAAAAAAACTAGCAAAGCACTGGACTAGTCTCTCAAACACACAGTGCTTGAACCAAATATCTTTAATTGAACCTAGGAAATTTATTTACGGTAAACTATACAAATGGTCACTAAAATTTGAGTAAGTTTCCGTTTTCCCCACTAAAGTGACAAATTAGTCACTAACATTACAAATTTGTAACAAAAATAGTCACTCGACCGTAATCTCCATTAAATAAATTGATGATGTGGTAACCTTAACAAAAAGGTTAATATTTAGTTTTATCCATAAATTATTTCTAAAACATCAAATTGGTTATTAAACAATGATTTTATATCTAATTTGCCTCAAAAACTTTCTAATTTCCATTTTATAAATACCCACCACCATTGTATTCCTCCCCTCCCCGCCTCTCCCGCCTCATCAGCTCCCATCCACTATAGCAAGACATTCTCTGCATCCTTTGTTTGAGCCATATAAATTGCAACAACGTCGTAAAACATTGCCTGACCAACAATGGTTATATCAAGAGCAGCATGTTCAAAGGGGAAGACATTGCTATTAATCACCGACAAATGAAGCTTTTCGACTTCGTTTATGATTCTTGATATGCACCCTTTGTTTGTCTCGCACTGCTTTCTTATCAGCACCTTTTTGTCCGAATCTCTTATTTTAATCTCAGGATATTAGCTACCAAAGTTGTCAACAAATGAAGGTGTCTCACTATCGACTGCATCAAATTGGGTTTTCTTCACAAATTTGACAGATTCCACTATTTTCTTAGCAACTTGTTCCTCCAGCGTTGCAAATCCCTCTTGAAGTTGCTTCAAGTATTTTTGATAGCGTCTCCCAGAACTGAATTTTTGTCTTTTTGCAATAACATATAGACGTATACGCAATTAAAATAGTAATTTTGAATATATATATATATATATATATATTTGATGGAACAATTGGAATTTGTACCTTTTTTAGGCCAAGAATGAGAATTTTCTGCTCTAGCAGATGGGAGATGATGAGGTGGGAGAGACAGGGAGGAGAGGAATACAGTGGTGGTGGTGGAGGAGGGTATTTGAAAGAAAATGAAAATTAGAAGTTTTTGTGGTAAATTATATATAAAATCATTGTTTAAGGACATATTTGATGTTTTGGTAGTATATTAGGGGTAAAACTAAATATTAATATTTTTGTTAACATTTCCACATCATCAATTTAACGGAGATGATGGTTGAGTGATCATTTTGTTATAAATCGATAACGTTAGTGACAAATTTATAGCTTTTGAAACTTTGGTTGGGAAATTGATAATTTACTCAAACTTTAGTGACCATTGGTGTAGTTTACCCATTTATTTACAACAAGACATAAACTTAAGAGAAAAGTATTGGAAAAGTCCTCTTTAACATTTTTTTTAAAAAAGAATACTCATCTTCCTTCTCTAATGCTTTTACTAAATTTCTACACCTTCCTTCATGTAGTGTTCAAAACCGAATATGCAAATGCAATCAATCCAAGCTTCCCGTAGTTTCTTCTCTTAATTCACTCCTCAACCTTATCACTTGTATATACTATTCACAAGCTTTAATCCTTCACGTTTCTTAACCAGCCTTTCCTAAGAATCGGTTAGCCAAGTAGACCCAAGTCCCAAAAATTCACATGATATAACAACTACCAAGAATTTCCTACAATCTCAGACCTAGTTTTCAAACTCAAAATCATCCTACCACAACTACAACGTAAAACTCCCTAAGGCAAATTTATCTCAAATTTGTCATATATCAGTCAGATCACCACCAAAGAGTTTAGTGTGCTTTAACAACACCAGAGAAGCACAACAATTTTCAATTCAAAGACCTATTACATTAGTAACTACTCCCTTAAAATTTTCTATAATTTCATAATTCGATAATAGATATCCAAGATTCCTCCCGAATCTCCTTTTTCGGTATATTTATAATGAAATATAGAATCAAAACTGCCTTTAACATAAGGGAAATATATATTAGCATCTTAAGTTAGTAATGTTTAGAACATTTTAACATTAGATCGTAGATACACAATAGAACCAATTAACATCACCAGAAATGCAACTAGGACGAAGAATTGGAAATTTTATTATAAAAAATCACAAATCTAAGAAGGTTCACCATTTTGAACAAATACTTGAACATTAAAGACCGCTAGTTATTTTTCAACAGTGCCTCAAATTCCTAAACCAAAATAAAAATAAGCAAATTTTTTTTTGATAGGATAAAAAAAAATAAGCAAATTTCAGAGGGGAAAATAGGAAACTACCATATCTAGCCTACATTTGGGACACAATCCCACTGCATTATGAGGATTGGGAGTTTAGGGTTTGAAGTCTTGAGATCCTTGTAATTATTCTCCACGATCAACATTAAATTATAATACAACATTGAAAAATAAAATAAATTAATTTTATGGATTTTTTTTTAAAAAAAAAGAGGAAATGTTAAAAGCTTAAATTGAGGAAATTATCGGAAATAAACCTGGCGGGGGCACTGGAAGAGGATTTTTGGCAAAACAAAATCCGTATTTCTTTGAGATTTAGAGATAATTGGCTTCTCCACGCCATTCGTACTCCTTCGATGACGAAATCAAACGATCTAGGGTTTCCAACAACCTTTGTAAAATGAGCGATTGAAAGAGGCTTCGATCGCAAATAGATACTAAAGTATATCACATTCTTCGTTTAAGTACTAATTTTTTTTTTTATTGGAATAAATATTCAAATTTATTTTTGTCAAAATATATATTTAAAATATTTTTTAATTAAAATAGGAAATTAAAGTATCTATTTTTTATTTAAGTACCTAAACTATTGTTTTATTAATATTATAGGTGAACTATTTAAAAATTTAGATAAAAAAAATCAAATACTTTATATATTTATTTTGATCAAAAATATTTTAGGGACCAAAAAGATAAATTTAGATACTTTTACCAAAAAATACTTTAGGTATTTCGATTAAAATATATGTATATTATATATTTATTTATAATATAACCCATTGAAAGAATAAGGACATATTAATATAACTTTTGAAAAATGATATTTAAAAATACTATAAAAATTAATTTTTAAAAGTATTGTACAAAAGTGCAATTTAAAATTTAATTATTTTGGATTGTTGTTAAAAATTATTTTGAAAAAATAAAATGTCAATTATAGACATTATGTTGTAAATTAAAAATATAACATTTAGATTATATTTACACTTATATATGAATAATATCAATTTAAACTATAATAAATCCAAAAACATATTATCATTGTCGGAACGGTCCTTAAGCTCGGGAATGTCACTAGACTAATTTTGAAAAAGTTCTGGTTTTATTTTAAAACAAGTTTGGAGTTTCTATCGATTTTTGGGTTAGGCAGGTCGAATACTTAAGATATATTTTAAGAAAGAAAAAATTAATTAAAAGAGAAAAGTAGTCTATGTTTAACTAGAAATTCATTTTTAAAGATTTGGGAGTCGGTTACACGTGAGAAAAGGTGAGCACCCTCACAACATCCAAAGTTGGTACACTTCGATTATATGTTGTCTAAAATAGTGAAATTTTACAAGTATAAATTCAAAATTTAAATTACGATCATTTTATTTCTATTAATCTAAAAAAAATGAGTGAATCTTTTTCTAAAACACTTGACTCAATGAAAATGATTTAATTCACTTAGTTTTATTTAAAAAAAATGATGTTATCTTACTACATGAATTAACGAAAATTGAAATTCAATGGTGTTGGACGTAATTCTATTAATGCACGACACACAACAACATTGCCTTTAATTATTTTAGAAAATGAGAAAACAAATACATGATCAATGAATACAGAGTGATTAATGATATGTACAAGATGAATCAAATATAATATTATAAATAAATAAATAAAAATGTCACACGAATTATCTATATTTATTAATATAAAATTTGGTGAAATATCTTTTCACTGGTGCGTCTTAAGAAATAGTGAAGTACATGTTTTTGGATGTTTTTCGAAGATCATTGTTTATTCGAGATGCTACCACAAAGTCAAATATAATATATTTTTATTAACATAATTTTATTTTTTAATATATATATATATATATACACATATATAAAAGATATACCTTTATTTAAAATAAAACATATTTATATACTTTTAGATATTTAAAGTGTAGATAATTAATATGTAATAAAATATTTTTATTCTAATAACCCTCTGAAGGACACTGTAGGTTTTTAGAGGTATTCCATAGGTTAGTTGAACAATAAAGATTTTATAAATACTAAAAAAACATTAAATGGACATTTTTGTTAAAAAAAATAAAATGTACATAGTAAAGTATTAAAAAATGGTCACCTTTAATAAAATATATGTACATATAATGTCATATCATAATTATTTAATATTTCATATTTAAAATGCTAAATTAAAATATAATATGTACACACATAAAAAAATAAAAAAAATAAAAAAGAGATTGAAATAAATCAAATAAAAGTATAAGGACTGAATATATGAAACCACGATCAACACTAGGTATTAAATCAGAACCATATAAGGAAACAAGGATTATGTATGCTAATAAATCAAATAAAGCTCAAACGGTGATCAAAATGAATATTTCATAAATTAACAATTTAAATCAAAGCATTCAACGAAGATGCATCAAATAGAAATGTCACGGGGCTAGACTGCTACTAGCAAGCTCATGCGGACTTAGACGTTTACAAGGTCGAAAATCGGCTAAGTAACCCAAACCTCCACTAAGCAAGAAAGCTTAGAACGTTGCGGAAACAAAGGAAATTGGGGAAAATAAAGATATGGGCGTACAAAAGAAAAAGAGAGAGTTTAGAGTGAATGTTAACTTGTATTCCTTAATATGAAGTGTGTACATTTTATAGTTGGAGCCCCTTACAATCAACGGTTAAGATTAAATTACATCAATGGTCAGGATGAAAGCCCTACTTTATCTACAAGCTAAAAACAATGAATAATTTGTGGGAATTATCTTTAAGATAATTTCAAATAATTATCATGCCTTTTCTCTCTCCAAGGTGGACGGGCCAGCTCTCCTAGGTCTTCTGGAAGGCTCAAAATATGGCAAAGATAGTATCTGGTAGCCTTGAACGAATTGGGCTCGGTCATGGGCTGACGGTCCATGACATTCTCTCTACTAGTTCTAGCGACGCCCTCGTTGCACGGCTAGAGTGAAACTGGTCTATCTTATCTCGGAATTGCCATAAGGCTTCAGAAGGTTCCCAACTTCCCTCACTCTCTGGATGTCCATTCCATTCAACAAGGTATTCATGCCTTGGTCATTGTCCCACTCGATGAACGACTCTCTCTACATAGATGACTTCTAATTCTTTCTTGTAAGATATATTTACCCCGACTGGCGCTCAATGTGACTTGCCTCGATTTAGCTCCTCCTCATCCTGATGGTACAACTTCAACAAACTCACATGGAACATATGATGAGCTCAGATGGTTGAAGGCAACTCTAATCTATAGGCCATAGTGCCTACCCGCTTCAGAACTTTAAACTACCCCTTGTATCTTTGCACAAGCCCTTTGTGATATGGGTTACGCAAGATCCCACTTAATTTGGCAATGACTAGGTCACCAACCTCAAAATTTATATCCCGACGCTTTCGATCCGCCCACTTCTTGGTTCGCTTCCCGTCCTTGTGCAAACAAGCATGGGCTAGTTCATGTTATTCTTGCTACTCCTTGGCAAATTGGTATGCTGTTGGATTTGGCCCCTTGTACCCAATCACAACCATATTTAGTGTGAGCGGCTGCTTCCCGGTAACAATATCTAAATGACTCTTATTTTTTGCTTCATTCCTCTGCAAATTGTAGGAAAACTGGGCTATATCCAATAATTTCGGTCATCCAAGTTGTGTGGCACTCACATAATGGCTTAAGTAGATCTCTACGAGTGCATTCACTCTCTCGGTCTACCCATCCGTCTGTGGATGAACACTCATCGAGAAGTTCAAACTTGACCCCATCAACTTGAACAACTCCGTCCAAAACCTCACAATAAATCTTGTGTCTCGATCACTGATAATCATCTTCGGAACGCCTCAGTACTTCACCACGTACTTAAGAAATAGACGAGCTGCCTCCTCGGCTGGATATACTTTGGATGTTGGAATAAAGGTTCCATACTTGGATGTTGGAATAAAGGTTCCATACTTGGAAAATCTATCAACTAAGACCATGATGATAGAAAATCCATCGAAAATAGGAAAACCGACAATGATATCCATGAAAAGACTTTCCCATGGTTTTTCGGGGATTGGTAGAGCCTGCAATAACCCAGTTGGTCTCCTCTGCTCTATCTTGTCTTGCTAGCACACAACACAAGTCTTCACATAGGCCTCAACATCATTTCCCATATGCAGCCAATAATAGTGTTATTCTAACAAGGCCAAAGTCCGGTGGATCCCTAGATGTCCCGCCCACTTGGAATCATGGCTTTCCTCCATGAGCTCCTTTCGCAATTCTTGAAATTATGGCACATAGAGGTGGTGTCCTCGAGCATACAACAAGCCTCCATCGAGCTAAAACTTTCGAGTCTTGCCCTCATTGGTAATCTCAATCAATGAAGTGACCATCAGATCATGTGATAACCCCTCCTTGATGTGCTCCCACATCCATCCCATCGGTAAACTCACAAGCTCCATGTCATACCTTTGGCATAAGGCATCAGCCACGGAATTCACTTTCCCTAGTTTGTGTTCCAAGGACAAATCAAACTCGGCAAGAAACTCTTGCCAACGAGCCTGCTTTAGTGACAACTTCTTCTGGGTTAAGAAGTAACTGTTGGCAACATTGTCGGTAAACACCACGAACTTGGACCCAAGCAAATAATGTCGCCATGTGCACAAACAGTGCACAACCACATTCATATCTTTCTCATGAACCGTGTATCTCCTCTCGGTCTCATTGAGCTTCCGGCTTTCATAAGAAATCGAATTTTCTTCCTACATCAGGACCCCACCAATGGCAACGTTATATGCATCGGTGAATACTTCAAATGGCTTAGTGTGATATGAAAACACCAAAACTGTTTCGATTATCATAGCAAGCTTGATTTCGTCAAAGGCACTTTGACACTTCGGGCCCCAATGCCACACCTTGTATTTCTTCAATAACTCGGTCAATAGGCGGTGATTTTTGAGTAACCCTTGACAAACCTCTGGTAATAATTGGCCAACCCCAGAAATGAACTCAGCTCCATCACCTTGGTTGACACCTCCCATTCATCAATGGCTCGAATCTTGTCCCTATACACCCAGATCTTTCCACCTCCAATAATGTGGTCAAGGAAAGGAACCTCCGTTTGGCAAATGAGCACTTATCTTCTTTAACAAAGAGATCATTCTC